CTAAACCCTAAACCCTAAACCCTAAACCCTAAACCCTAAACCCTAAACCCTAAACCCTAAACCCTAAACCCTTACTCACTACGGCTTAGGTCCAAAAATCCCTGCGAGGAGTGGGTTCTCCTTCCGTTCATCCAAGGACTTCCTGAGCTTCGCCAGCTCCTTGAGCCGCTCCCGAGATCTGCTCCTCTGCTGCCTGGTTTAGGGTTTAGGGTTTAGGGTTTAGGGTTTAGGGTTTAGGGTTTAGGGTTTAGGATTTAGGGTTTAGGGTTTAGGGTTTCTGGTTTCGGGTTTCGGGTTTCGGGTTTAGGGTTTAGGGTTTAGGGTTCAGGGTTCAGGGTTCAGGGTTTAGGGTTTAGGGTTTAGGGTTTAGGGTTTAGGGTTTAAGGTGCCTGGTCTTGCCGGCGTCCGCGGCTGCAGAGGCATCAGCGCTCACATAGTCCACACCGATGTGGGAACCCCTGAGGATGTAGCCATTGTAGGCCTTGATGGCAGCTCGGGCAGAGAACTTGTCCATGTACTCAACGCCTCGGCTTGGGGTGAAAGTGAGTTTAGGGTTTAGGGTTTAGGGTTTAGGGTTTAGGGTTTAGGGTTTAGACAGACCAGCGCTGTTTCCCTCAAAGCCCTCACGCACATGTGCTCAAAGCTGGACACAGCTCAGGTGCAAAATCCCTAAACCCTAAACCCTAAACCCTAAACCCTAAACCCTAAACCCTAAACCCTAAACCCTAAACCCTAAACCCTAAACCCTAAACCCTAAACCCTAAACCCTAAACTGAGATCAGCACATCCATCCCCGCCCTCGGTGCCCGGTTTGTAGATCTTCACTGCGAAGGGCCACTCGTCCTGATATCCTTTAGTGCTCCCTTTCGCATTCCGAATCGGCTCTTTTGCAAGGACGCCGACTTTGCTGAAAAGGGCAATGAGGTGGCTCTCCTCCGTCTCTGCGGAGAGATTTGTGATGTAGAGCTTGGCAGTAGGGATCGAGCTGTCGTCGTCTTCGCCGTCCTGGTTTCCTTTCTTTGTCACATCCTCCACCACCTAGGTGGTCGTCAAAATTCTGATCCCTTTTGGGGGTACCCTAAATATGAGGTGCCGTATTTTTATAGGGATCCAAAAAGGGACCATAATTTTGACAACCACCCACCTGGAGGTTCTCAATCTTGAAGTTATTGGTTGTCCCGCTGGCAAACTCAACCGCCCAGCGGTCCTTCTCGGTGACAAATGCTTTGAGCACTCCTATGGCACCATTCTTCTCTGGGCTCTTCTGCAGACCAACCACCATGACTTCTGATCCAACTTTGAACTCCTGCGCAAGGAGAAGCGAAAAAAATCAGCCCGTCGGAAGCTGCGAGGAATCAAAAGGCAGGCTCGACAGGGAAAATGCAGTTGACTGTCTTGCGTCCTAAACCCTAAACCCTAAACCCTAAAACCCAGCAGTTGACTGTCCTGCGCCCCTGAGACTTTCATCTGCTTCAGCCGCGCCTCTCGCTCCTCTTGCGCCTGATTGGCACCCTAAACCCTAGACCCTAAACCCTAAAGCCCTAAAACTTGAACCCTAAACCCTAAACCCTAAACCCTAAACCCTAAACCTAAACCCTAAACCCTAAACCCTACACCCTAAACTGGAAGTCGCACAAGAAATGCAATCTACCGTCCAAGGCTGGCCACACACAGCCACACACAGCCACCTGCACCGCGGCCACACACACACAAACACAAAAACACACAAACACACAAACACACAAACACACAAACACACAAACACACAAACACACAAACACACAAACACACAAACACACAAACACACAAACACACAAACACACAAACACACAAACACACAAACACACAACCACACAAACACACAAACACACAAACACACAAACACACAAACACACAAACACACAAACACACAAACACACAAACACACAAACACACAAACACACAAACACAAACACACAGAGAAAGTCTCACACAAACACACATGCGCGCAGATGTCGCTTACCAGGGGTGGGTAGTTCTAGACCTGAGGGAACGCTTACTCGGTTGCCTTTCACGAGCCTGATCAACAGCTCCTCCTGGAGACACCCATTTAAATTTGATGCTGCCTGATCCACTAAAGCAAGAAAAACATGGAGAGAGTAAGAGAGAGAGAGAGAGAGAGAGAGAGAGAGAGAGAGAGAGAGCACATGTGTCCAATTTCTCAAGCAAAGGTTGGCGCGTTGGCGCCTTCTTCTGGCGTCTGTCCTCTTTGAACTTCTCATCTCTTTCCTTCAAGTATCTGGCATAGCCCTCCGGATCTTTCGCAGGATCAATGGGACCTCCACGGTCGCCGCGCCCCATGCTTTCAAAGTGTTGCTAAGGCGAAAGGTGTGTCAGCAACGACTGAAACGCATGTAGATGTTCAGAAATGTTTCTCCTTGCAGCCTTTGACTCAGGGGTACACGTGTGCCAGGATGTCAATTGGGTAGACAGAACTTGCAAAGTCGCAGAGTTATTCCAACCACGGTGAGGACTACAAGAATGCAAAGTCAATTGAGCCCGACGGCCCCCACAGTAGACAGATGCTGCACTAGGCTTGTGAGAGCATGTGCAACCCTAAACCCTAAACCCTAAACCCATGCGTCAGGCATGTGCAGCTGTGCTTCCCCTCTTGTGTGGCACGCTCAATTGGTGGACTGTAATTGTTTGCACCAAGGACTTGCAGAGGAACAGGCACAAGCAGAACCAAGCTGCACCCTCATGTTGGCCTGGTGTGGCTTTAGGGTTTAGGGTTTAGGGTTTAGGGCTGAGGGTTTAGGGTAGAGGGTATAGGGTTTAGGGGTCTGGGAACTTATTGCAAGATCGTCCCGCATCCCAAGCATTGAACACCCTGAAAAATTTTAAGCCCTAAAGACCCATGACAATATCTTCAACTTATGGTGGCCAAGGGTTTGGGCCGGACGGTCCTATGCCTTCTACCTTGCGCTATTGCCGTCTGTCTTGGCACTACAAAAGACAACGCGATGGACAGGATCTGTCTCGGGGTTAAGTTAGGGAAAAACCCTGAACCCTAAGCCTCAGACCCTAGACCCTAAGGATTTCGGGCCAAGTGCATTCTTAGGGTTTAGGGTTTAGGGTTTAGGGTTTAGGGTTTAGGGTTTAGGGTTTAGGGTTTAGGGCTTAGGGCTTAGGGTTTAGGGTTTAGGTACCCTTTAACTTAGTAGCTGAATGAGTACACTTTATGGACTTTTTGTGACAGTAGAATCACCTAGAGAACTGCAAGTGTACACTTCTTGTGGGCTTAAGAACTCAACAACTAAGGATTCTTTAGGTTCGGGCCTTTCGGGGGTCTGTCGGGGGTCCTAAACCCTAAACCCTAAACCCTCAACCCTCAACCCTAAACCCTAAACCCTAAACCGAAAACGCTAAACCCTAAACCCTAAACCCTAAACCCGAAACCCTAAACCCTAAACCCAAACCCTAACCCTGGTCATTCCTGGATGCTTCAGGGGAGACAACCTCCGAAGCATGCGGGGGCCCAGGGCGCCTGAACCGATGCACAGCAGAAGAAGAAGACCACCACGCCCAGCAACGTGATCATGTCCTCACAGGTTTAGGGTTTAGGGTTTAGGGTGTAGGGTTTAGGGTTCAGGGTTTAGGGTTTAGGGTTTAGGGTTCAGGGCTTCGGGTTTAGGGTTTAGGGTTTAGGGTTCAGGGGGTTTAGGGTTTAGGGTTTCGGGTTTAGGGTTAAGGGTTCAGGGTTTAGGTTTTGCAGCGTGTTCACTGCTTGGGACTCCCCCTGAGTCTCTGAGACATTCTGGGGCTCCAGGGTTAGGGTTTAGGGTTTAGGGTTTAAGGTTGAGGGTTTAAGGTTTAGGGTTTAGGGTTTAGGGTTTAGGGTTTAGGGTTTAAGGTTGAGCTTCCGAGTTTACTTGGGGGTTTAGGCTGTTTGGGGACGAGGAAGCTGTTACTCAGTCAACACAACTTCGCCATACACGAGGGGTTGGAACGCACAGGACACCCACAATCCCCGCCCCAAAACCCTAAACACTAAACCCTAAACCATAAGCCTCACGAACCTCACCTCTAAGCACGGGATGCTGTAGGCGCACAGCTACGCTGCGTTCTGACGACTCCCAAGCGCTTAGGTTTGTTGCATGGTCCCTTGCTAAAGGGTTGGAGTGTGGGTGTGAGAGGGTGTATAAGGCATAAGGGGTATATAAGGGGGTCCCCTTTAAGGGCCCAAATTCAGAGAGCATGATCTACAAACCCAAAACCCTAAATCCTGAACCCTAAACCCTAAAGCCCTAAGACAAGCCTTCGACGCCGCCACCAGCTTGGATACAGTGTCGATCATGAACTGCACCTCGCAGCGGCAGAAAACAAAGAGGGTTTGGGGTTTAGGGTTTGGGGGCCTCTGGGGTTTCTAGGGTCTAGGGTTTGTGGGCTTATAGGTTTAGGGTTTAGGGTTTAGGGTTTGGGGCGTAGGGTTTAGGGTTGAGGGTTTAGGGCTTAGGGCTTAGGGTTTAGGGTCATTTTTTGTTTAGGGTTTAGGGTTAGGGCTTAGGGCTTAGGGCATGGGATTGAGTTGCCCTTTCCTGCGTAGGAATCGCAAGCTTGTGCTCTAAGAGGCAGACGCGAGTCGAGCGCCTCGTGTCCCTACGACAAGGAAGGGGTTTAGGGTGGAGGGTTTAGTGTTCAGGGTTTAGGGTTTAGGGATTCGAGTTTAGGGTTTAGGGTTTAGGGTTTAGGGTTTAGGGTTTAGGGCTAGCCCTGAACCCACACCCCCCCCCCCCCCCAAAAAAATAAGAAAAAAAACCCTCTGGGCTTCGAGGAAGATGCCATCTTGAGCTCCGCGCCGACTCGAGGTTCTTTAAGTTCTTCACCACACGAAGCAGCCTCCACTTGCTGGGCTCTTGGGGTTGGGGTTTAGGGTTTAGGGTTTAGGGTTTAGGGTTTAGGGTTTAGGGTTTAGGGTTTGGGGTTTGGGGTTTAGGGTTTGGGGTTTAGGGTTTAGGGTTTAGGGTTTAGGGTTTAGGGTTTGGGGTTTAGGGTTTAGGGGTTAGGGTTTAGGGTTTAGGGTTTAGGGTTATAAGTTGACATTATATGGTTTGCAGGGCTGAGGGTGCCAGGGGCTTTGAGCTTTCGGGCCCATACGGATAGTCCGTGCGTTTTAACCCTCTTGTAACCGAGCTTGTGGCATTTGTGCTTGGAAACGAACGTTCGCGAATTTTCGGTGGCACCCTGGGGAACACAGACTCAACCCAAAAGAGCCCGCGGTTTGGGGTTTGGGGGGTTTAGGGCTTAGGGTTTGGGGTTTGGGGTTTGGGGTTGAGGAGTTCAGGGATTATAGAGGGTTCAGGGTTCAAGGGTTAATGGGTGGGGGGCCTCAGCAGTCGAAGCATGTTGGCGTAGGTCGCAATGCCACTGGCGAAGAGCCTGCGTTTGAACACGTGAACACCCACGCAGCGGGAGGCTCGAACTTTAGTAGGGAAACTATATGTGTAAGGTAGTTGCCAAAACCCTAAAGCCTCAACCCTAAACCCTAAACCCTAAACCCAAACTAACGCACCACTACTGGCAATGCCTCTAGAGGGTGGGTAATCACACGCTCCTCTCGGCGATCGCCGTGACCAGAAGCAGCATCGTGGTAAAGAAGTCGAACTGGTTTGAGATCGTCGACCTGGGAGGCGTATACAACACTAAACCCTAAACCCTAAACCCTAAACGAGTGTCCCCTGCCAAGCCGCAGAGGCAGAAACAGCACAACACCAGGCAGTTGCTTCACAAGGATATTTTAGGGTTTAGGGTTTAGGGCTTAGGGCTTAGGGCTTAGGGCTTAGGGCTTAGGGCTTAGGGCTCAGGGCTTCGGGTGGGATGTTCCCCCCAATACTAACAGTCCTTAGTGGGGACTATAACAGGGGGGGAGGGTCTTAGATTCACTATTAAGGACTGTTAGTATAGCCCAATGGTATTCATTGACAGTGAGAAGCCCCTATTCCCTCCCCTGGGGCCCCCTGCCAGTACTCCGCAAAGGAGTACACGGCAAGCTTCAAGGACACTTCGCCTGAGGAACCGGTGAGAAACCCCTAAGCCCTTATAATCCCTATGGCCCTAAACCCCAAACCCCAAACCCTAAACCCTAAACCCTAAACCCCAAAGGCCGAAACCCTAAGCCCTAAGGCCCTCAACCCTCAGCCCTTAATCCCTGAACCTTAAGCCCGAAGTGGCGTGGTGAGCTGCAGGGAGGCCACAGCTAGTAGAACTGTTGGGATGCCAGACGGGTACGAGTACATGAAGCTTCGTGAGTTTCCGGTTTTTGGTTTAGGGCTTAGAGTTTAGGGCTTAGGGCTCAGGGCTCAGGGCTTAGGGCTTAGGGCTTAGGGCTTAGGGCTCAGGGCTTAGGGCTTAGGGCTTAGGGCTTCGGGCTTAGGGCTTAGAGCGCAGGGTTTGTTACAAGGCCCCAAGCAAGGCTTTCAGGTTTAGGGCTTGGCCCCCAAAAGCCCCCCGAAAGCCCTGGCCTAGGTACACGAAGGAGAAGGCCAGCTCGAGGGAGTCCATCCATGGCGGCTCATCCCACCTGGGGGTTTAGGGGTTTGGGGGTTTAGGGTTGAGGGTTGAGGGTTTAGGGTTTAGGATATAGGGGTTAGGGGTTCGGGGTTCAGGGTTTAGGGTTTAGGGTTTAGCGTTTAGGGTTTAGAGTTTAGGGTTTAGGGTTTCGGGTTTCGGGTTTAGGGTTAAGGGTTTGGAGCATTGCTCGTGGACACGTGCTCATGGACACGAAGACAAACGTTCAACTGGTAAGGGCAAAACTCATTGAGCAGAACCTCACACGCTGTTGCTGGGTTGTACTCTTTAAGGGGTTCAGAAGTTCAGCACCTTGAGTCGTCTTGGTGGTGCTGGGAAGGGGAGGGGGGGGTAGGGGGCAGGGTGAAGGGAGGGCGTTGTTGTGAAGAGCCCGCAAAAGCCAGAAGCCTCAGCAACCCAGGTTTCCAGCCGCTATCAATATTACAAGATAATATGTTCATGACCCTCGCGCCCGAAAAACCTGACAGCATGGCTATTTTCCGAGACAGCGAACCGGAACCCCGACAAAAGCACTCCCTCCCCTCACAACCCTAAACACGGCCCCAGGGTTTGGGGTTTAGGATTTAGGGTTTGGGGTTTACGGTAGTTGCCCTCAAGACAGGTGAGGTCCGGGCTTGTTGAGGTCGTAGTAGCTCTCTAAGACCACAAGGATGAGATTCACCTTTTGCACTTAGGGTTTGGGGTTTCAGGGTTTCAGGGTTGTGGGCTGTGGGTTTAGGGTTTAGGGTTTACGGTTTAGGGTTTAGGGTTTAGGGTTTAGGATTTGGGGTTTAGGGTTTAGGGTTTGGGTTTTGGGGGGTCGGGAGGGGCTGGTCGTTCAGTGGTGGAGCTTCCGACTCCAGCAGGGCTGCCTCGATTCTGTTTGGAGACAAGGCCGGGCCCCGCTTCTTAGGCTTTAAGATTTATAATTTTAAGGTTTAGGGTTTAGGGTTTAGGGTTTGGGGTTTGGGGTTTGGGGTTTGGGGTTTGGGGTGTAGGGTTTAGGGTGTAGGGCTTAGGGCTTAGCACATCCTGAACCCTTCAGGTCCCTAAAACAAACGGACGTGGGCCTATGCGTAGGCCTGGCCGCGCGGGCCTTCGTTGCCAAGTATCAGCCCTTTCATCTTGCGAACCGGCCCCAAAAGTCCAGGGGGGTGCAAAGGGGTGGTACCTTGGACCCTTAAGGTTGTGCCCGCGGGTTTTGGGGAACCTTTTTGAAGGTCCTTCACAAAATAGAAGGGCCACATTAGGAGCATACAAAGAGGAACCTTTAGGGAACCTTATGAAAGTGGTACCAGTCTTAGTCCCTTGAGTAGGCCCTGGCAGCTGTCAAGGTCTCTGTGGCGCGGACCAACAGGACCAAGGTCATCGCCCTGTCCAAAGATTTCGGAGAAGATTCACAGGAGTGAGCCATAATTCTGTTGATCATTCAACCCTAAACCCTAAACCCTAAACGCTAAACGTTTTTTCTAATTTCGGTCAGTCGGCACCAGGGGCTTATCAACCTTCGGTCAATCGTCAGCAGCGTTGTGCAAGTTTTTATAGGGTGTAGAGTTCAGGGCTGTGTTCAGGCCCCAAAAACTCCGGGCCTTTGGGCTTCGGATTCAGGTTTCAGCCTAGGCCAGGGGTGTTTCGGGTTCAGGGCCTACTGGGCCTTCGGCGTTAGGGTTCAGGCCTGGCAGATTAGGGTATAGGGTTTAGGGCTTTGTCATCGCTGTGCTTGGATCAGACAATCAGGTCGCCAAAAGCATTGCTGTTGTTCTTGCTGTTTTTCGTCGCCGTGCCTGCGTCAGACAATCACATCACCCGAGTTACCACTAACAAATGTCGTTTGTTTGCCATCGCTGGGCACAAAGGTTGGCCTAGGGGTTTAGGGTTCTAGGGTAATGCGTGGTTGTTGTACGTCCTGTCGCATGCAAAAGATTCGGTAAGACTTTATACTTTCTGAGTGGATGCTCTGGGTGGGCATTTTTTCCGCTACACGAGCCCAACTGCTGGCCTAGTGAATGCTTCGACTTGTGAATGCTTAGACTTAAGATAAACCCTAAACCCCAAACCCTAAACCCTAAACCCTACACCCTAAACCCTAAACCCTAAAGCCTACGATCTCCTCGCGCCTCTCCAGGGTAATTACAGACAGCTCCAGGTCCTCGCTGGAGTCCACAAAGGCCCGGAACTTCCTCGAACACGGTTTGGTTTAGGGTTTAGGGTTTAGGGTTTAGGGTTTAGGGTTTAGGGTTTAGGGTTTAGGGCTTGGGGTTTGGGGTTTGGGGTTTAGGGTTTAGGGTTTAGGGTTTGGGGTTTGGGGTTTTGGGTTTTGGGTTTTGGGTTTTGGGTTTAGGGTTTAGGATCTACTTGGAGATTCATATGGGTACCTATAAGCAGGGTGATAAGTACGGTAGCTTTGGTTGTAGCCTTACTTAAGGTACTTATAACCCCACTTCTGAGTACCCATGAGCCTTCAAGTAGGGCTTAGGGTCTGAGGGTTAGGCCGTGCTGGGTTCTGATGTGAAGGAACTTGCCTCAAGTTACCATGATAAAGATGCTAATGTTTGCTATAGAGCCACGGAAGCAACCTCTACGGTCACTAGCACAACCCCAGCAAAACAGCGCGGCTTGGGCTCCGGTTTGCTGATAAGCCCTAAACCCTAAACCCTAAACCCGAAACCCTAAACCCTAAAGATAAGTCCAAGGCGCCGATATCCTGAGCTGTTCCAGAGATTCGGGAAGTAGTCCTTGATGTAGGAGTCCTTCCTGGTTTGGTCGGGTTTGCTTTCTTAGCAAGGCAGAAGTCTTAGTTTAGGGTTTAGGGTTTAGGTGTAGGGTTTAGGGTTTAGGGTTCAGGGTTCAGGGTTCAGGGTTTAGGCTTTAGGCTTTAGGCTTTAGGCTTTAGGCTTTAGGGTTTAGGGTTTAGGGTTTAGGGTTTAGGGTTTAGGGTTTAGGGTTTAGGGTTTAGGGTTTAGGGTTTAGGGTTTGGGGTTTGGGGTTTGGGGTTTGGGGTTTGGGTTTGGGGTTTGGGGTTTGGGGTTTGGGGTGCACTTGTCGGGGGCTGGTTCATGACCCCAATGCGGTCAAGCCTGGTCGTCCAGAAGTCGTATTGGATCAGGCCAACCACGCCGATGAACCTGCGCGACGCATGGAGGCTGCCAGCTCAGTTCAGCAGAAGAGCACGTGCCCTAAACCCCGAAACCTAAACCCTAAACCCTAAACCCTAAACCCTAGCCCTCAACCCCAAACCCTAAACCCTAAGCCCTAAAACCCTAAAAACCCTCAAACCCTCAACCCTCAACCCGCAACCCTCAACCCTCAACTTACAGTGACAAGATGACCAGACGAAAGGCCGACCCCCACGTTGAGCCTTAGAAGGCACTGTTGTCATGCTGGAACTATAATACAAGTGCAGATGTGCAGGTTAGGGTTTAGGGGTTAGGGTTTAGGGTTTAGGGTTTGGGGTTTGGGGTTTGGGGTTTGGGGTTTGGGGTTAGGAGTTTGGGGGAGGTTTAGGGTGGGCGTAGGGCTTCCAAAACAAGGTGGGTTGTGCCTCTTTCCGGGGGGGGGGGGGGGGGGTTGAGGGGTACCCTGGTCCCCCCAACACAAGCCCATTCAAAGTCGATACCATGGTCACTCATACGTAAGGTTATCAGCATCCTAAGTATCCTAAATAAGGATGTACCCATAGTCACCCTACTTATAACCCTACTTACAAGTACCCCGATGAACCTCCAAGTAGACCCTAGACCCTAGACCCTAAACCTAAACCCTAAACCCTAAACCCTAGACCCTAGACCCTAGACCCTAGACCCTAAACCAAATTCGATGCTCCCTCTCGCTGGGCCCCCGGCTCCTCACGCTCAATGCTCCCGGACTTGTCCTGCGCAGCAAGCTTCTGAAGCGCGCCTGTTACCCTAAACCCTAAACCCTCAAACCTCAAACCGTAAATCCTCAACCCTCAACCCTCAAACCCTCAACCCTCAAACCCCGAGCCTAAACCCTAGGGTTTATAGATGTTTATAGGGTTTATAGGGTGTATAAGGTGGGTATAGGGTTGATAGGGTTTATAGGGTGTGCAGTAGGGTCGTCCACAAACCCCAGCGGGGCGCACACGATCGATCGCCTCCCACATGATCTGTGCCTGGGAAGGCTGGAGAGGAGGAGGGGCCAGCATACTACGCAACTCAACTGGGTTTAGGGTTTGGGGTTTAGGGTGTAGGGTTTAGGGTTTAGGGTTTGGGGTTTAGGGTTTAGGGTTTAGGGCTTCGGGAGAGGGACTCCGAAAATGTAGTCCCCTTTTGTAAATCCTATACTAAGGACATCAGGGCAGCGCCTCATCGGGAGAAATGCCCACAGATCGCGGGGACTTGCTAATCTCCTGGCAGACAGGACACGCAAGAGAAAGGGCTAAGGGTCTAGGAATTCAGGGCTTAGGGTTTAGGGTGTAGGGTTTAGGGTTTAGGGTGTAGGGTTTAGGGTTTAGGGTTTAGGGTTTAGGGTTTAGGGTTTAGGGTTTAGGGTTTAGGGTTTAGGGTTTAGGGTTTAGGGTTTAGGGTTTAGGGTTTAGGGTGCATGCTCAAGGAGACAATCGTGGCTTTCGTCAACCCTTCCTGAACACCGACCCCTAACCTGACCTAAACCCCAAACCCGAAACTCCAAAACCCTACACCCCCAACCCTAGACCCTAAACCCTTCACCCTATACCCTAAACCCCAAACCCTACACACCCTACACCTTACTAAACCCCAAACCCTAAACCCCAAACCCCAGACCCTAAACCCCAAACCCCAAACCCTAAACCCCAAACCCTAAACCCCAAACCCTAAACCCCAAACCCCAAACCCTAAACCCTACACCCCAAACCCTAAACCCCAAACCCTAAACCCCAAACCCCCAACCCCAAACCCCAAACCCTAAACCCTAAACCCCAAACCCTAAACCCCAAACCCCAAACCCCAAACCCTAAACCCTACACCCCAAACCCTAAACCCCAAACCCTACTACAATGATCCCGGAGACAGCACCTGCTGGGGAGGGAAGCCCGGAAGCCCTCACGCCTCCAAGAAGAGGAAGAAGTACTTCTCCGAAACCTGCAGCTCTTAGGGTTTAGGGTTTAGGGTTCAGGGTTTAGGGTTTAGGGTTTAGGGTTTAGGGTTTAGGGTTTCGGGTTTAGGGTTTAGGGTTTAGGGTTTAGGGTTTAGGGTTTAGGGTTTAGGGTTGGGGAGCTGGCCTCTTGGTTTTTGCTGCCGGTGGCCTCCACAAGTGTGGTGAAGGCCTGGCCAAGGAGGCGGCACAGATGTACGTCGGGTGGTCGGGTTGAGGGTTTAGGGTTTAGGGTTTAGGGTTTAGGGTTTGGGGGTTGGGGGTTGGGGGTTGGGGGTTGGGGGTTGGGGGTTGGGGGTTGGGGGTTGGGGCTTAGAGTTTCGGGCTCAGGGCTAAGGGCTAAGGGCTCAGGGTTCTAAACACTTGTGCCCGAAAAAGCAGTGACAGGAAACAGCTCTACCCTGCGAAATCCCCTACAATGCCCCAGAATCCCCTACAAGGACTCTTGCATCCACCCCCACAGGCCCATATGAAGTAGGGTATATATTTCTTGTACCCCCAGAAAGGTATATACACTCACGAATATTAAAAAGGAACCTTATATACACTTACCAAAAACAGTAATATAAACCCTGCTTCATATATTGGCAACTCACTGACCGTCGGCAGGCACGCAGGCCTTCCACATCCCCTTGATGCGCTGCTCCGCTACTTCCTGAGTCAGACAGGGGCCTTGTCAAGACCTGAACCCGCCTACAGTAAAGCCCTAAACCCTAAACCCTAAATCCTGCTTTAAGGATGATTAGAGCTGGGATTCCCCTCTTGTCTACCTTTTCAGGATGTTCCAACTGTTTGGAATGTACTGTAAGCCCCCAAAACCCCCGACAAACGGTCGGGCTCCTAACATGCCACGAGAAAGAGGAGTTGAAAGCCATCGCCTCCTCCCCTAAAATCCTCAAGGAGCCCCCCCCCACAAGGCCACTGACAGTTGCCCTACCCCCGTAGCCCGTGAAAGCATATGGACAAAGGGCAGCAAGAAGGTCCAAGGATGCTCTGCGGAACATTGGTTCTCCCCAAACCCTAAGCTTGGCATGTTCCCCCTCACACTAGCAGTCCTTAACAGGGATTCTAATGGGGGGAGTCCTATCATCCCTACGAAGGACTGTTAGTATAACGGGGCACATGCCGAGCCTACGCCCTTAGCCCCTTAAACCCCAGATGCTCTGCGGGAGTCTTCTTTTGGGACTGGGCGTGGACACTCCAGTCACTCTGGGCACTGTGGGATGCTCCACAAAGCACTCAAACCCTGAACCCTAAACCCTAAACCCTAAACCCTAAACCTTCGTGCGTGATACTTCCCGGGATGCTCGGGATTCTATCAATGCTGAGGGCTTGGCACTCCGATGATACTTTGTGGGATTCTTTGGGCGTAGGCACTTCAGAGATACAGCAGGCCTTAGGGGTTAGGGTTTAGGGTTTGGGGTTTCGGGACTCTCTGGGGAGCCCGTTGCAGAATGCCAGGAGCGCAGGTGAGGAGCCCGAAACCCCTTAATCCCTGAACCCCCCTACCCTAGACCCCCAAAGAAGAAACCACTCACCCCCTAAACCCTAAACCCCTTCATATAAGCCCCAAGGAAGAAACCTCCAAACCCCCAAAACCCTAAACCCCCCACCACTCAACCCTAAACCCCTAAACCCCTAAGCCCCTAAAACCCTAAGCCCCTCAACCCTAAACCCTAAACCCCTAAACCCTAAACCCTAAACCCCTAAACCCCTAAACCCCTAAGCCCCTAAAACCCTGAGCCCCTCAGCCCCGAAACCCCCAAACAAGAACCGCCCTGGCTCTGCCTCCGTGCGCTGCTCAGAGTAGGACATGTAAGCCGCACCTCCGAACCGGTTTAGGGTTTAGGGTTTAGGGTTTAGGGTTTAGGGTTTAGGGTTTAGGGTTTAGGGTTTAGGGTTTAGGGTTTAGGGTTTAGGGTTTAGGGTTTAGGGTTTAGGGTTTAGGGTTTAGGGTTTAGGGTTTAGGGTTTAGGGTTTAGGGTTTAGGGTTTAGGGTTTAGGGTTTAGGGTTTAGGGTTTAGGGTTTAGGGTTTAGGGTTTAGGGTTTAGGGTTTAGGGTTTAGGGTTTAGGGTTTAGGGTTTAGGGTTTGGGGTAAACCTCTGTCGGCTCTCCATCGGATCTCGGGCTTAAGGGCTTGCGGGCTTAGGGTTTGGGGTTTAGGGTTTGGGGTTTAGGGTTTAGGGTTTAGGGTTTAGGGCTTAGGGTTTGGGGTTACAGGGTTTGGGGTTTAGGGTCTACTTGAAGGTTCATTATCGTGCTCTCATAAGCAGGGTTGTTGTAAGGAGATGGTTATAGCCACTTCTAACGTTGTTGTTTTCCAGAAACTTTCAATGTTCGGCAAACGCAAAGCGTCCGAAACATGTCCAGGCAGTTGACACAACAGCTTAAGCTCCAGGCCAACAGCCAACAACTGATCACTTCTCTACATTATGGTCCCTTTTGGGTCGCTATGATAAGGCGGCCCCCAATAACAAGGGCACGGCGGCCCTTAATCATAAGGGCACCCAAAACAGGACCATCATTTGAGAACTGCCGACTCACTCCACGACCCTTCAACCAACCTTGACACAGCTGAAAGCAACCCTAAACCCTAAACCCTAAACCCTAAACCCATTCTTAGGGCGCGGGCAGAGCGTGTCGAGAACCTTGGACGGGAACAGACGCCGTTTTTGCACCAACTCACAGGCTGCAATGCTTGCTCCTTGTGCTCAGTTCTGCTAGGAAGAGCCCTAGCAGTCCATATGCTCCCTAAACCCTAAAACCTAAAACCTGAACCCTGAATCCTGAATCCTGAACCCTGAACCTGAACCTAACCTGAACCCTACATCCTAAACCCTAAATCCTGAACCCTGCATTCTAAACCCTAAACCCTAAACCCTAAACCCCAACCCCTAAGCCCGAACTGCTAAGCCCTACATGGAGGCACTGGGGGTCCTGCTAAACTGAGGAGCAGCACATGGGCGATCACGAGGAAGATCAGCCACAAAATCTCAACAGCCGGAAGGCTCAACCATGGGTGGTTGTTGGCTTAGGGTTAGGGTTTAGGGTTTAGGGTTTAGGGGTTTAGGGTCTCAGGTTTAAGGTTTAGGGTTTAGGGCTTAGGATCTAAGGCTTTGGGCTCACAATTTGCGAGTTCTGTGACTAATTGCTTCTGCAGCTTGTCATCTTTGTTTAGGGCTTGAGGGTTTATAGGGTTTAGAGTCTAGGGTTTATAGGGCTCAAGGTTCAGGGTTTTAGGCTTTCGGGTTTTGGGGCGTTTACGATTCTAAGGGGGTCTTCTTGTCCTGGGCTAACAACAGCTGACTGGACGACTGCCATGCCGACAGTTCTTGTGCTGTTCCCTTGCACGCGAGGCTCACAGGACCTTATTCGGATGCCCCCAACCTTACAAACTCCAACAGTCTAAAACACCAAAAACACAAAGCCCTCAAAAAAAACCCTAATCCTCCCAAACACCCTACACAGGGATAAAACACACAAAATGAAAATCGAAAACAAAAATAAACAAATAATGAAGACTAGATAAAGACCCTGAAGACCTTTAACACCTCAAGATAAACATTTCAAACACGAAAAACACCAAAAAAAAACACAGAAACAAACAAACACAAAGAAACTCAACAAACCCTAAACCCCTAAACCCTAAACCCTAAACCCTAAACCCCAAACCCAAACCCCCGCCCCAAACTCCCATGTTCGAGAGACACCCTGGTTCTTAGTAGGGAGTGAGGGATTCAGGGCCCTATATATACCCTTTAAGGGATTATATAACCCTAGACCCTGAACCCTAATCCTTTAAAGGGTACATATAGGGCCCTCCTTCCCTCATTCCCTACTAAGGACCAGCCAGGAGAGTCTTGGCCCGCCACGCCCACGTAGCGATAGGCCGTGTAGGACCTCTGAAACCCAGGGTTTCGGGTTTCAGGGTTTCGGGGTTTAGGGTTTAGGGTTTAGGGTTTAGGGTTTAGGGTTTAGGGTTTAGGGTTTAGGGTTTAGGGTTTAGGGTTTCAGGGTTTCAGGGTTTCAGGGTTTCAGGGTGGGTTTACGGGTTTAAGGGTTTAAGGGGTTTGGGGAACCCAGAACCCACAAAGGGCAAAAGGGTAGAAGTCAGCTACCAAGGAAACCCATATGTTTGGGTTTCAGGGTTCAGGGTTTCGGGGTCTAGAGTTTCTAGGGTTGAGGGTTTCAAGGGTTGAGGGTTTCAGGGTTTAGGGCGTGGGCTTGAGGATCCCATCTACCCCGACCTTTCGGGTTTAGGGTCTCTTGGGCTTGCTAGAGACTGCAGAAGAATACTGCACATAGCTGTTGCTCAAAAGTCCCCCCCCCCCACAAAAACAAAATGGCGAGGCTCTAATCCAGAACCGCCCTCCAACTCCTCAGAAAGCGGGGGTAGATAGGATCCTAAACCCTAAACCCTGAGCCCTGAACCCCCAAACCCTAAACCCAAACAATAAACCCTAAACCCCAAACCCTAAACCCCAAACCCTAAACCCTAAACCCCAAACCCTAAACCCCAAAAGCGCAACCTCTCGGGCCCCGGGCTTGAGAAACACGCTGACAAACTCGTCTGACACCTGACGCCCGGCAGATTTGGGGGGTGGCTGTGTGGGGTTTAGGGTTTAGGGGTTTGGTTTATAGGGTTTAGGGTTTAAGGTTTAGGGTTTAGGGTTTAGGGTTTCGGGTTTAGGGTTTAGGGTTTAGGGTTTAGGGTTTAGGGTTTAGGGTTTAGGGTTTAGGGTTTAGGGTTTAGGGTTTAGGGTTTAGGGTTTAGGGTTTAGGGTTTAGGGTTTAGGGTTTAGGGTTTAGGGAGTTTCTGGGCCTCTTTGACAAGATTTACCAGACCTCGGGACTGTAGCTCTAAGGTTTTTTTCGGGTGCTTGCTGTTTTGGGGGGAGGGTTCTTGGCGGGTGTTTTTGGTTCCTAAACCCTAAACCCTAAACCCTAAGCCCTAAAACCCTAAAACCCTAAACCCTAAACCCTAAACCCTAAGTTTCGGGTTTTTATTGGATTTGGGGGTGTTGTTTTGAATTTCTTGGGATTTTTAGGGTTGTCTTTTGGGTTTTGCCTTTGGAGGACCTTAATGCCTGTACCCTTTCTCCCGAAATCCCCAAAGTACTCAGGCGCAGCCTGGAAACCCTAAACTAAACCCTGAGCTTCCTGAAACCTGAACCCGGAAACCCGAGGCCTTACACCCTGAACCCTAAGCCCTAAGCCTCTAAACCCTGAACCCTAAATCCTGAACCCTGAAACCTGCCCCGTCAAGCTCCTGAGGACCGAACTCCAGCGATGAACATCGAGTTCATCGATTCTTTGAGGGACGTAAAGCCCTGGCGTATGGGATTTGGTGGTTGAATTTCGTGGAGGGGGTTCTGTTCTTAGCAGGGAATGAAGGGAGTAAGTAAATCCGAAACCTCCAAAACCCTAAACCTGATTGGCCCCAAAGCCCCAACCACAAGAGCCAGGCCCCAGTCGAGGCCAGCCAATTTCGACAGCACTCCGACAATCGTTCAGAAGCCAAGTACGAGGTCGTGGGGACTTGTTCCCTCCTAAACCCTGAACCCTAAACCCTAAACTACCCTAAACCCTAAAACCCTAAACCCTGACCTCTAAACCCTGAACCCTAAACTCTAAACCCTAAACCCTAAAGCCCTGCATGCTCAAACCGACGGATCACCATCTTTGAGTTCTACAAACGCAGCGTGATCTGCAGTTCTTCCTAGGTTGTTGGGATTAGCAGAGACCTTGGTATTCTTAATCAAAAATGCGATGCAAATTGGTTGAGGGCCCGCGGTTGTCGAAACGAGTTGTTTCGCAAACGAACCCCTGGCCGAGATAGGAGCGTGACGCTCGCGACTCCTCTCGAGGAGCCCATGACAAGGACGCAACGGCATTAGGGTTTAGGGTTTAGGGTTTAGGGTTTAGGGTTTAGGGTTTAGGGTGTAGGGTTTAGGGGTTAGGGTTTAGGGTTTAGGGTTTAGGGTTTAGCGTTTAGGGTTTAGGACCCCCTCCAAAACACCCAAAAGAAACAAATCGAACCAGGCCAGGCCACCATATTTACGTAGCCGGCACGACCCTTAAGCCTGAGTCCGTCTCCCAAAAGCCTCGTAAACCATCCCTAGGAACTCAAACCCTAAGTTTAGGGTTTTTAGGGTCTAGGGTCTAGGGTTCAGGGTTTAGGTTTTAGGTTTGAGGTTTCAGGTTTTAGGGTTCAGGGTTTAGGGTTTAGGGTTTAGGGTTTAGGGTAAGCCCTAAACTGCTCAAGGCTCCCTCGGCACGGAAGCAGAGGCTGCGCCTCGTTCCCATGGTCGAGGTCTTTGAAGACTGTCACCGCGATCCAGGCGAAGAACACCATGGTCCCTCCCGTCATCAGGGTTTAGGGTTTAGGGTTTAGGGTTTAGGGTTTAGGGTTTAGGGTTTAGGGTTTAGGGTTTAGGGTTTAGGTCATCTGCACTCTTGCTGAGGGGACCTAAGCTTGGGGCTTAGGAATTTGCAACCCTAAACCCTAAACCCTAAACCCTAAACCCTAAACCCTAAACCCTAAACCCTAAACCCTAAACCCTAAACCCTAAACTACGACTACGACGCGGAACACGAAGGAGCTTGGAAGGCTCCAATCAAGCCTTCAGAGCCCATGACGCCTTAAATGGGGAACTTTCCCGCGGCTCTCCACCCGCCTGCCAAGAAGACAGCCACGGAGACCATCTCCCACCTTGCTGCAAGAGGTTCGAGGGCTCCGATCCAAGCCCTGAACGGGTTCCATCGGGGAATTTTAGGAACCTCCGTTCCCTAGTTCTAGCTGTGGCACTTAAGCGGGGTAGCTAAAGACATTCAGGGTTGAGGCTTCAATGCCCTTGGTTTCGGAGAGGGCTTTGCTGGGTTCTTAAGGGAGGGGGTTCAAGGTAGTATGTAACCCAAGGTTCCCGAACACTCCCCGCTCCTCTGCAAGGCTCCCTCTAAGCTTCCCTAAGGTTTGCCAGGTACCCAAACCCCCCATGAACCTCCCTCCCTTAGAAGCTAAAGTTTAGGGTTTAGGGTTTAGGGTTTGGGGTTTAGGGTTTAGGGTTTAGGGTTTGGGGTTTAGGGTTTAGGGTTTAGGGTTTATAAACCCTAAACCCCCCCCAGTAAGAACCCTCTCTGAGAGAGGGAAGCGCCCCGAAAAAAGTCGACCCCTCAGCTCCTGGCAGGCAGGCCACCACACAGCGCACCAACTCCTTGACCTCGATGGGGGTGCACTCATGGGTGGGGTTGAGGGTTTCAGGTTGGGCGATAAGGGTTTGGGGTTTGGGGTCTTTGGGGGTTTGGGGGCTTTGGGGGTTTGGGGGTTTGGGGTTTGGGGGTTTGGGGGTTTGGGGTTTGGGGTTTGGGGTTTGGGGTTTGGGGTTTAGGGTTTGGAGGTTTAGGGTTTTAGGGTTTGGGGGTTTGGGGGTTGGGGGTTTGGGGGTTTGGGGTTTGGGGTTTGGGGTTTAGGGTTTGGAGGTTTAGGGTTTTAGGGTTTGGGGTTTGGGGGTTTGGGGTTTGGGGTTTGGGTTTGGGGTTTAGGGTTTAGGGTTTGGAGGTTTAGGGTTTTAGGGTTTGGGGGTTTAAGGTTTTGGGGTGTGTAAGCAAGAAGGAAGGTTCGCGGCGACTGTGTCTATTGGAGGCGTATGTCCGCGCAAAGAGGCAGGGCTCCTCTGAGGTTTAGGGTTTAGGGTTTAGAGTTTAGGGTTTAGGGTTTAGGGTTTAGGGTTTAGGGTTGAGGGTTTAGGGTTTAGGGTTTAGGGTTTAGGGTTTAGGGTTTAGGGTTTAGGGTTTAGGGTTTAGGGTTTAGGGTTTAGGGTTTAGGGTTTAGGTCTAGCGTGACGCGAGAACCTGAGGCCCGAACGGCTGGCAGGAGGCAGAGGTACCCAGTTCGTGCCAGGAAGGCCAGGCGGAATCTCAGAGAAATGGGACTAGGGTTTCGGGTTTGGGGCTTAGGGGTTTAGGGGTTTAGGGGTCTAGGGGTTTAGGGTTTAGGGTTTAGGGTTTAGGGTTTAGGGTTTAGGGTTTAGGGTTTAGGGTTTAGGGTTTAGGGTTTAGGGTTTAGGGTTTAGGGTTCATGCCATCTCCATAGTCCCTGGATGACATCATCGACGCAAGACAAGCCGTTCAGGGTTGTGTGCAGTTCCAAGCAGCCCCGAACCCCCTAAACCCTAAACCCTAAACCTCTAAACCCTAAACCCTAAACCCCTAAACCCTCAACCCCTTAACCCTAAACCCTAAACCCTAAACCCTATTCATGCTTGGGTGCGAAGCCTGGGCCGGAAAACTGCAAAAACGACGACATCGGCTGCCTCCAGTACCTGGTCATTGGTTCGCAGGCCTTTCCGGTTTGTGTAGGGTTTGCGGGTTTAGGGTTTAGGGTTTCAGGGTTTAAAGGTTTAGGGTTTAGGTGCACATTGGGATGCTCCCCCATCGATAGAGCCCTATAAACCCCATAACAACCCTACGAAAACCCCATAAAGAATAGAGAACTGTATACCTCTGGCCAGAAAAGATCGAATGAGCAATGAATGTGAACTCCCTAGAACCCTAAACCCTAAACCCTAAACCCTAAACCCTAAACCCTAAACCCTAGACAGCTGAACCGAGAAGCCAGAACTTGGAGGTTCACTCGGGTACTTGTAGGGCTACAGGTAACCTATTTTAGGGCACTTACGACCCCACTCAGAAGTACCCCTAAACCCTAAACCCTAAACCCTAAACCCTAAACCCTAAACCCTAAACCCTAAACCCTACTTCGTGAAGGGCAAGGCGCAAGCATGGCCAGCCCGAACTTGATCTCCGACATGTTGGCGTATGTCTGCAGTTTAGGGTTTATCAGGCTTCTAGGGTTTCATATGGGGGTTGTAGGGTTTAGGGTTTAGGGTTTAGGGGTACTATATGGGGTTTAGAGGGTTTGAAGGGCTATTTGGGCTTATGGGGTTTATAGGGGTTATGGGGCTTATAGGGTGTCATAGGGCTTAGAGGGTTCATAGGGTTACTGAGGGTTTATAGGGTTCATTGAGTTGCTTAGTCATAGGCTCTCATAAGGCTTACAGGGTTCATTGGATTTCATGGGGCTTATAGGGTTTCATAGGGTGTATAGGGCCCATTGGGTTTCGTAGGGCGGCTTAGGGTTTATTGGGTTTACAGGCTTTTATAGGGCTTATAAGGTTCATAGTGTCCTTAGGGTTTGTAGGGCTTATAGGGTTTCATTGGGCTTTTAGGGTTCATAGGCAGTTCATAGGGCTACTTCATAGGGCTACTTGGGGTTCACAGGGTTGCTTGCGGTATAAAGGGTTTCATAGGGTTTATAGGGTGCTTTTTAGGTTTTACAGGGTTTGTAGGGCTATTAAAGTTACTTAGGATTACTTAGGGTTTACAGGGTTTTTCAGGGTTTACAGGGTCTATTGGGTTCAGGGTTTGCGGGTTGGCTACCGACGCCGAACCCGGTCAAGGTGGACTACCCCCCTCTATACTCCCCCCCCAAAGGGGTAGCCCTAACCCTAAACCCGACCCTAAACACAGGGCCTAGGCCGCCCCCCTACAGAGCGGGGGGCGGCGCTTAAGCCCTTCGACTTCTATGGCGAAAGTCGATCCAGGTCGCTTGCCCGTCTCCTCAGCTCGGAGGTCGGTAGCGCCCACGATGGGCCCGGTGCCGGAGCAGGTTCTCCCCGGGACCCTTAATGCAGAAATACCCCAAAAGCCAAGCTTCAGGAGGAGCCGGGCGCCGCAGCGTGCCCAGGAACCAGGCAGGGGCGGGTGCTCAATTTTGTTCGTTTTTGGCTGCCCACCGGCCACTTCCGGGACGCCTGGGACCTTTTGGGACCTTTTGGGAATTCTTGGGACTTCCTGATCGACCCCCTAAACCCTAAACCCTAAACCCTAAACCCTAAACCCCTCTCTGCCCTGCTGGCGCCTCTGGTCCTGGGACCCCCTGAAAACCCCGTCTGGGACACGAGATGCCCTGGAACGGAAGAAGTTTTTGGAAGTGGGCGATTGGCTTGAGTTTAGGTCTAAACCCTAAAAGGAATAGGTTTGGATTTACAGCTTGTACGCCATACTGCAGCAAACCCTAACCCCCAAACCCCAAACCCTCAACCCTAAACCCTAAACCCTAAACCCTAAACCCTACGGTAGAGACGGGGGGGTCGTAAACCCCATGAAAACAGGACCCCCCACGGCGCAAGGCAAATGGCGCTCCTGCTTTGGGACCAAGCCATCGAAGAATCTCACCTGGCATCGAGCGCGGCTCGGCTTGAGGGGTCAGCCCTCAAACCCTAAACCCTAAACCCAAAACCCTAAACCTTAAAGCCCTAAGCCCTAAACCCTAAACCCTCAAACCCTAAACCCTAAAGCCCTAAAGCCCTAAAGCCCTAAACCCCTAAGCCCTAAACCCTAAACCCTAAACCCTAAACCCTAAACCCTGAAGCCTGAAGCCCTAAACCCTAAACCCATCTTGAGGGTTCCGCGCTCAAGGATCCCAGTCCCCTTCAACATCTCACCCTGCAGCGGAGCCCTTTCAGCCAGAAATGGGCATTTCCCAAAATACGGAACCCCCAAATAGTAGGATTCCCTCACAATAAGGATCCCAATAAGGTACCCCTAATATCGTAAACCCCCCTTGGGTATTTCCCAAAATCGTTGTACCGGGTACCCATTTTCGACCCAAATACAAGACAATCCCCGTAAAGGGGTCCCTAAAAAGGGTGCCCCTATGATCGGAAACCCCCAAATACGAAGCCCCTGGCATTCACCCGCACCCTCTGAGGGCCGCTTAACACCCCGCCCTTTCTTGTGCTTCAGACCATGCTCCTGTTTAGGGTTCAGGGTTTAGGGTTTAGGGTTTAGGGTTTAGGGTTTAGGGTTTAGGGTTTAAGGTTTAGGGTCCGCCGACCCTGGCGGCGTGTTGGATGGGAAAAGGGGGGGGGGGGGGTAGGGGGGGGGTCCCCGGCCCACACGGCATAAACTCACGGAGCAGAGGCGGTTTCGCACAGGACATAGGGGGGCCCTTTGGTACCCCCCCCCCACCCCCCGACAACCCGAAACCCCCCTACCCCCCCCCCCACACCCCCCCCCACCCCCCCCCCCCACCCCCCCCCACCCCACCCCCCCCCCACCCCTCCCCCCCACCCCCCCCCCACCCCCCCCCCACCCCCCCCCCCACCCCCCCACCCCCCCCCTACCGCCCTACCCCCCCCTCCCCCCCCACCAACTTTGGCATCCTTTGACCTAACAAACGCGTTTAAACCTTTCAACTATGCTCCAGCAGGGTCGGCGGCTTGAGCCGGAGGCTCTTAAATCCGGGCACGCCCGTGGTCCGACGCCGCTAGGCGCCAGCCCTAGCTTTAGCTGTGAGGGGCATGTCGAGTGCCATGTTATGGAGTTATGCCAGCATCCTTCGAAATCCTGCCGCCCAAAACCCTTTCCGGAGCCGCTGATGCTGCTGATGCTCGCTTGCAAAGAGAAACGAAGCCTCGATGATGCGCACCCTGGCCCCCCGCCCGGCCGCGCATCATGAGCATCAGCGGCTCCGGCCTCCAGGCTTATAGGGGCATATGCCGGCCTCAAAACGGAAATGTCCGTAACAGCACGAAAACCACGGTATTTACAGCGATTTCTGTGTTTTCCAAGCTCTCAGCCGCATCCGAAACCCAAAACCCAACCCGCTGATGCTCATGATGCGCGCTCTTGTGGGGGTCCTT